CACGCATGCGGGAGATATGTTCTCATTTGAACACAAATTTAAATCAAATGATTATTTCTCAGTTCATTTTTTAACTTTCAGTTCAGCTGCTACATAGTTGACAGGTTATTGATGCATGTGCGTCAGTTTTGATGATATTCCATCTATATTGTCTTTAGAATTCACTTTATTGAAACAGGAATTTGTTTTAGGCGTTTGTTGAACTTCTTAAAATGTTTGAACAAAGTTTGGCGTTCTCGAGTAAGTCATCCAAAGTCACATTAGACTGTGAAGATGGCTCTCATGAATTCTTCCATCCAAAGCAAAATGGAAATGTCTAATCCATGGAGTAGACTCCATGTCAAGGGTCTTAAACTTGAATTGAGAAATGTAACAGTGTTGAAAAAGAAATTGCTAGAAGTTACAAAACAGAGAATACATCTTTTGTTTGTGTACTGTCAGTCAGGCTAATCTTGTGTTGTGTGACAATGCTCTTCGTCTAAAAAAATGACCGCCTATACAATTAAAACAAAATGTCACATTCACAGTATCTATCCTAGCGCATCTTAAACAACGTATAGAGGTTGAAACTGGTGCGATGAACCAGTATTTTAAGTCGATGAGTGCTTGTCAAACCATCATAAAAAAATTGACTTGTAAATAAACTGAAATTAATTTATGCTCACGCTAGAATTAGAATGGAATGTGGTGCCTGTGGCACATACAACCGTTCAGGTGCTAATAGATGCTACCATATTGTCAATAAACCAGACCAAATGGATTTGTTGAAAAATGTGAAATGCTTATCAAGTTACTGTAATTGTGTAATCCATGGAACTTAAACAATAAACGCTCAAATAAGGCTGGTAACGAACGATTCTTGTGTCAATCAGAAAATACACATTGCCCTCAGATTGCAGGTAAAAAATAATTATTGTCAGTTTTTAACTCACACAATACAAAAACAACAAATACATTATTAAGTAGAGTGAGTCTCTGTGTAATACGTTATCAAAAATAGATTTTCAGAAATAGTCCAAAATGCATCATACCAGAATGCTGTCGGACCATTAGATCCAAAATTTGCCACTGCTGAAAGTTTTTCTTGAAGGAGAGGGAGAGTATGTTGACATCAATTTGACTCAAAATAACCTTTTATGTCCCGTTTTTTGTTGTTGCTAAGTTGCAATCACTTACCAAGACAGATAATAGATTATTGTGTTTCAAAAATGATATTTTTTGTTTGTGGAAAACAGTTGGGAAATGAACCTTGTAAAAATAAATAATATATAATAATAATAAAGAATAATTTTGTTATACAGTTTAAAATCAAATCAAAATACACCGATACAAAAGCCACTTAATTTCTTCAAATAATAAATACAGCAAGCTAGCGAGCGAGCGTATTGGATTTTCATATTCAGTAACACAGCATAGTAAAACATGGGAATAATAAACGCAATTGTTTCATATATTTTACTACAATAACAATAACAGATGATACTTGTACCAAATTGCAGGAACAAATGTCGGATCTAACTAAAAAAACAAATAAACTCATTCCAATTCAATGTTGTTAACTGTGGCTGGGGAGTTTAATATTAGATTACTGGAACTATCTGTTACATTTTGTGAAAAAATACCTAAATGCCATTTCTAATATTGTTGATGCTTTTGAATTTATTATATCACGAAGTAAACCTGAAAAAGCAAAAATTTTCAGAATTGTTTTCCTTTGGAATAATCTAATGTTACTAAATCTACTAATCTTTGATTTTACTAGCCTGAATACCTTAACAAACATAAAAGAATGTTACAGTTGTTCTACAATGTATATCATTTACTGTTTATAGCAGACTATGTTGATTCACACAGTGGGTCAGTATTACTTGGAATGCATTTAGGATTACCTCATCTAAATCTTTCTTACAATTTTGCATGCTCCTTTGCAAGACAGTTTTGCTGTTGCCAGTTTAAATAATATTAGTATTTGGCAGCCAAATACAAACATACAGACACATGGGCATCCATGCAACAGCATACCAAACAGTAGAGCCCAAACCGTCCACACTAAAAAGAAAAATTATAGAATTAGATCTGATTCTAAAGTCTTATTAAGGTGGTCATGGAAAGTTCATTTTTAGGTGTGTCTAAGGAAATTCCGTCTTGCCCGGATTTCTCCAACACGTGTCAGGGGGGGAAATTTTGTCTGTCTCTATATCTCGTCTGCAAACACCAACGTGTCAGAAATAGCGGTCCGGATGGCGACGGTTATATCGTAATTAGTTCCAAATCACTGAGTCAAGTTCTGTCCAGGACCTCGTATGAGCCTAAATGATGACAGATATAACACAGCCATTCACTAGTAACCAGCTAAATAAGTCGGTCAACAGATACGCGAAAACTAATTCATGACAGGTGTATAGTTGTTTCTCCTTTCTAGCATTGATCACTCTTGAAAGAAGCGGCCTGGGGTACCAATCAATATAAATATGCATGAATTAGAAAATATTTTACCTTACCAGGTAAGGCAATACATTTGCTTTAAGACAATTTATCAAGAAGACATGTTAGATTTCTTCGAGGTGCTGCTAGTGAGTGAACAAGAATTTATCCACAAAATTGATGTGAAGGATGCATGCACATGCATGCACAAGCTGATTATATAGAATTGATTTCTTGTTCATATTTTATAAAACAACTTGATTCTGATAAAATGTTATTGAACACATTTGGTATGTGAACGTGGAAGCATTACATGTAATCAGAAACGTGGTCTGGTTATTGCAATTCTCTTGATTAGCCATGAACAGTTTGACATTTATCTCTTCAAAAGGGATCGGTTTTTGGAACACTGTTTCCTTCTGCAGCAAATGAGTATGACCTTTCTAAACACAAACAAACAACCAACCAACCAATCTGGCGTCTTGAGTTGGACGACCACGACGATGACTTTGCCCGATTTCACGTCCCATCAACTGAGGCATACATTGTCAGCACACAATAGATTTATATTTATATTTATAAATATGGAAATTACACAATGAAACGAACTTTTTATTCCAATCAATCACCAAAGTATATATCACTAGTAGTAAATGAGAGTTTAAATAACAAATGTACAGTATCCAGTTAAAGGAATGTTGCATTAGTTTCCAATTGAACCGGATTTCCGTACAGCAGCCTGCATTGTGTGTGTTTTTCAAATTTCAAAACGAGGCTAGTTGCATACCATGGAATTATGCCCACCAATGAGTGTGTCTTATTCCCCTTCCCGTATGAATCAAAAATATAGTAAACAGTCATTACATAATATCATTATTTTTAATATTTAAAATATTCTTACATGTAGTTTTGTCAGTTGATTAATAAGCCAACTAAAGTAATATTTGCCTTTTCAATGCACAATACATCCATGCAGCGTGTTGGCTGAACGCATTTTAATTTGTATTTAAGATTACAACAGCGATTGGCATAATATACAAAGCTATGGATATCTGAGCATGGTCTTCGAATAAGCATTACAGTTTTCGTCAGCTAATTTAAGCAGGTAGCACAAGTTACAAGTATTGGTTACAGTAAAATGTCGTAGTCTGTATTTGCAAATTCGATTACTTAAAGTTGTAAATGTTCTAGGTGGCTAACTGCTTCGGTGATAAGACTATACTTATAGAGCTGGACGAGTGTTGTGATGTTTGATCAAATCAGCACCTTTCTCAGCAATCATTACCACAGGGGCATTTATATTA